TCGCTTCTCTGGTTTGTTTGGGAAGAGTGAAACAATACCAACAATAACAGTGGATTTCACTAACTGGAGCTGTGCGTACAGGCTGCCACTCCACTGCCTTGCCACCTCCTCTCAGCACAGCACCGTGGCCCTGCAGCCTGTGGAGCTCCAGCCCTAATTCCCATCAGCCTGGGGAGCAAAGGGCCAGTGGTGCAGTTGGAGCAGCTTCCCTCATGCCTGTGAGGAGCAGGCCAGTAACAAGCTGTCACTGGGACAGGGGACACAAAAATGGGATGATTCTGCACCCCAGAATGTCCTGGCTCAAGGGAGACCACAGCTCTCACCTTGCAAGACGAGGATGGAGCTGGGGACACAAATCCTTCTCTAGGCAGTTTTGAGATTCAAGGGAAGGAACTGCCCTCTTCTCACACTTTCCTAAAATTCAGCAGCACAGGTGGGATAGAGCCCAGCGCCTGCGCTTGGGCGGAGCAGCTGTCCACAACCCCCAGGCCCGTGGCTCAGCATCATACTTGGAGGGGTACTCCAGCTCGCCCATTGGATCCCAGTTCAGGCTGAATGTCTGCATCATCAAAGGACATGTGAGGAATGTTCCTGAACCTGGGAAGAGAGGGAGGAATCCAAGGTCAGTCATTGGCTTCCTCTCCAGCTCTTAGCACTACCCGCATTCTTCTCAACAATGAGAAACTGTATTTGCTTAGTCTTCTAAGAGAGAAAGTACCAACACCACAAAGCATCATCATGTTCCAGATACCCAACACCCTGAAGAAATAACAAAAGCAGGGAACAAAGCCGGGGAGATACAGATCTCAGTATGCTCAGGTACAGGAAGGAACCCAGATCCCGTACACTGGAGACCAAGGAAGATACTTAAAAGAAAAAAAAAAAAAAAAGGAAAAGAAAAGAAAAGCCATATTCAGAGGGCTCTCCCTCCATTCAGGAGCTACAATGGGCATGTGAATTGGTGCGCTCGTTAGGGACCAGTCAAATCAGTGTCTCGATGTCCCACCCCACACCCTACCAACCCCATTCTGGCTCAGACAGAAGAACAAGCAGACACACTCCAGTGTTTGGCTTTTATTGAGACATGATTTTCCTCTTTTCATAGAACTCATCTCATTAAAATATTCATTTTAGTTACCACAAAAAAAAAAAAAAAAAAAAAAAAAAAAAAAAAAAATTGTTTGAA